TGCTGAATATATTGCTTTATAACTACATAGAGTACTTGGTGTAGGAAAAACTGTCTCAGAAGTGCTTCTGGTGTGAGAGAATAGTGTGTTCAGGCAGATACTCCTGTGCTGGCATGTCACGCACGCATCAGCCTATAATTTGAAGCAGCTAATATCTATGTGGCTTTTTAATGCACATATACATGCATTACATGTACTTGCAAAGCAAAGTTGTAAACATTACTTTGATTTCCTTGAAAAGCAAAAAATATCCTCTTAAAGTTTACTAATCGCATGTTTCTTCTTTAGTTATAGAGTCAAAGACGCTACAAGGAGACAAGGGAGAGCACAGTTTTAATGCTCCTGGAACATTTGTCGTAGAAAATACAACTGTTGAATTTCAGAAGAGTACAGACAGGGAAATCATAAAGATACAGGGACCTCTTGGAGCAGATTTCATTATTAAGGTGGGATGTCTATATGTACAAATCTACTAAGATATTGCAAGTATATGCAACAGAGTAGGTGACTGTCCATCAGGTTGTAGCAATACAACAAAATCTTTTAGCTAGCATATAAAGAATCCTAATTAAAGTCCAGAGATAATTTATACTAAGTATATCCAAGCAAATTCAAATATTACAAGGTTAATGTCTTTGTAGTGGAAAGTATCACAGGATCTTTAATGGTAAAAATGGTCAGGACTTTTGTTTTAAATATTACTGAAAGAATAACATTGTGGTGCCGTGTGATGGATTGGTGTTAATCCAACTGAAGACTGCCACCTACTGAACCTGAGCATTGCTTCCAGCAGTGCCCTAGGATCTCCTTTAGACATTGCTAATCCAGCTACTGACCATTTCTAACCCCCTCAAGTTTCTCGTCCACCCAGACCACATACCGATGCCTTGCATCGTAAAAGCAGATATTTATCTGTAGAAACTTATCAATATTTGGCTGCCAAAGGAAGATAGTCATGCAGTTTTCTATTGGAAATGACAGGTGTTTCAGTATTATCACACCACTTGGCTTTATCTGTCACGTTGTGGAAACAGACTCTCAGTAGTGTTTATTTTGCATCTCCAATATCACATGTGCAGTTAAACTTGCCTGAATATGAACCAGTGTGCTTACGTCAATTATGGACTTCCCTCTCCAGTAAACTTTTAAAATTTTGCTAATAAAGAGATGAGGCAGAATACAGTTATGAACTTTGCCAACCGAGGATCAGTAATCAAAGTCATATTAGTACCTTGGATAATCTGGGAAACAAAGCAACATACAAGTGTTTGATTATTGGAAACTTAAATTTGATTATTACTCTAGACTTTGTAGAGGTTTATGCCTGTTGTCATATTACTCTCTGCACTGTTACTATATATGAATTATGTTTTGAAGTGACATGAACAGTGGAGTACAGTATACACATGTGTTGTAATGGCAATTTCTTCAGACCAGGTACTCTGGATCAAAAGAGAGCGTGGTTCAGTTCTTTTTCTATCAACCTATCAGTCATCAATGGAGGCAAACAGAGTTCTTCCCCTGCACAGTGACGTGTGGAGGAGGTAAGTAATGGCAATTCTTCAGGAGTGTTTACGCCTGAAGATTAAATGCGGTTGATTTACAACCTTCGTTCTACATTTTTATTGTTTAAATACTTGTGTTTCTTTGCATGCTGGTTATTCAGAAAAATAAATGACAGAGTAGCAGGTAAGTTGGTTGATTAAGCTAGTATGAGCATAAGGGTTTTTTTATGTCTTATATTGCTGGAATTCATGTTCTTTCTTAAGGAGTGATAGTTTGAGTAACAACTTTAAGAAATAAAGATAGGATGTTCCAAGTAGAAAATAATAATTCATCAAGGATATTTGGGGAAAATAAACGAAGAAATACAGTGAGATTTTAAAGTAAGGATAATCAAGAGATGAAGGAAGAAGGTATTCCTGGCCACAGTAGTAGAGATGAGAGAAAGTTTTAGAACACTTAATTTAGAAATTAGTTGTAGAGAAAGCAGAATAAGAAAATAGAATTTAAAGAGCAGGTGCTATCAATACCTATGGCTGTCTGATCCTAGACAGTCCTGATGGTAGTTAGAGCAACAGGTAATGTGCTGCAGCATATATTCCTGGCTTAAACACTACAGTTTATACAATGGTTAGACGAAGTGCAGCTCAGCTCTGCTACTGCTCATCCAGACCACAGCTTGTCGTGTCTGGTTCTGCAAAGAGCGTGGTCTCATGATAGGAGGAGTGTTTGACATTGTAGATAGTTATTTCAGTTCAGCCAGCATTACTCAGGTCACCTGAAAAACAGACTGGAATACTGGTGATACTGGTGTAGTCATTTTCCTGGAGAGTACAAATATGGTTTAAATAGTTACTTGGGACATAAGTAAAAAGAGTTAAAGATGTTTAAAGCGCAAGCAGAGTCTGGGGATCTTTTGATGGACCATCCATTTTGGCACTTGCACCTCACTTTAATCTGAAATGCAGACAATATATGTGTATATATGTAGTCCTACAGGAAACTACTGTATCTTATAAGACACATGGCCTCATGAAGTGTGATTCTTACTGGAACTGTAAGTGGCAATACATGTCCTCTGATGATGCCATTGCGCTGTGTTTATGAAGTTTTCCTTAACCTATCTGACAAGGGAAGAAGTGTAAAGCATCGCAGTTGTTTGAGGACTGCATGTAAACACTGGAGAACTCAAAGGGACACATTTACCTGGCTCAAATCCACCCTTATTTAGACTGGTGTTATGACTTGACGATTGTAGCTGCATGTCAATCTCTTTGAAATTAGCCAGTGTTTTCAACACCCTGCTTTGTAGCTGCATGTCTATAGTATGAAACTGGTACCTTGATCAACAGAGCTTGACACTCTTGATGGCAGTCCTGAGAGAGGCCAGGAACTGAAGAAGCACAGAAACTAAGCTACTGCTTACCCATGAAAGTAGTAGTGTTAATGGCATATTACTGAGGCATGCAGGGAAGTTGTATTGCAACTGCCTGGTTTTAACCTGTTATCTTAAAGTGGGTATAGTATACAGATTGTCTGTTTGGCATCTTTTACTGGCAGTAAAAGAAGTTCCTCACAACAGAGACTTGGAATCAGTGCACCACTACTCCTCACTTGGATGCTGCTTCTACGTTTAACTCTGTAATCTCCATGTGTGGGAGGGGGGGAAGTGCGACGGGCATCTCAGAAAGCACAGTCAAGCTTGAACAAGCAAGAATGTTTAAAAATTGGGTTTATCTTGTTTGCAAGTGGGTCCATTTCAGTACTTACAAGTACTGGAACATACGTGCTTTAAGCACTGGAACTGCTTAGTTCTTTACGGTTATCACTCTCATGCATGATGACACTTTGAATCGGCCAAGAGACACACAAGTGAAGCCATTGATATATGATACTTAGCATTTTCAGTAGACACTGGGACTTGTGCTGTTAGTTTATTGACTTTATTTGGATTTTAATTCTTGTGGTTTCAAACTTTTTTTCTTTGCACATACCAGAACATCCTCCCCCTCTCCTCAGTTTAAGTCCAAGTCAGCTCTTTTGAATGAGTCTTTTTTTTCTTAGCCAAAAAACCAACCTAGTGGTTTATAAAATTCAGATCCCTTATTGTAACCAGTCTCCACACAGATTTTTTTGTTTTGTTTTGTTTTCCACCAAGTAGTTACTTCAAGTTTTCTTTTGTTGGCTCTTCAACTAGGAATGTTCTTGAAATTATTTCTTGGTTTTCTACAGTTTAAGTTAATGTTTTTGGATCTCATCTTTAATTCCTCTGGCTTTCTGTTTTAAGTATTTATTCTTTTTAGCATGCATGACTGTGTAATATAGCTCTCTAACATACATGGTAACTCCTCCTTGGGGGAGGGCAGTTATAAATTGTGGAACATGTAGTAGAATCATATGACTTTGTAGGGTTGCCTCTGTGGCAGGTGAGCTGTTCCAGTACATTTATTCCTGTGTCACATAAAAAGATGTATGCTTTTACTCTTATACTTAGAACATTATTAGAATAATGTGCCAGAGTCTCATCTAGTGTTAAGATAGGTTAACATAATTGTTATGCTGAATTGCCTTAAATGAAGATCTTATTTTGGTAATGGAGATAAATTAAACTTTGTTTCTGCATTAGGCTATCAGCTTAATTCTGCTGAATGTGTGGATATTCGTCTGAAGCGTGTTGTTCCTGACCACTATTGTCATTACTATCCAGAAAATAAGAAACCAAAGCCCAAGCTAAAAGAATGCAACATGGATCCCTGCCCTTCTAGGTTCGTATGACAAATAAACTGAAGTGTGGGGTATAGTCAGTTACTAAGGAACCAGCAGTCATATTTATTAATTTCAACTCTCCTCATCTTTAGGGCTGAGTAGCCAATCTTGATATCAACAATCAAGTATCGACAAGTATCAACAATCTTGGTTGATTATTGCATGCGTTAAAGGCTGATGTCTGGCCCCGCTGCCGATAGATTTGTGGCACTTCTTCAGTGTTGTAGAATAGGAGACTTTGCTTTATACAGAGATACTGTAAATATCAATCTGGCTGTTCAAGGGCTAATTCTACTTTATGTCTTTTGCTGAGTAGTACAGCACTAGTACAATGATTTTGTGAGGTTGTGTGAGAAGCAAAGACTGTTTGCCTACTTTTCGATTTATTGATGCTGCCATTCAGGATTTCTCATTAGACAGACAGTAGCTCCAGTTCTCAGTCAGCATTCAAGTTTTGCACATGGATTAACTTGGTTTGTTCATCTTCCTACCATAAAAGTTTCATTCTTCATTTGTACTGTGGAGAAGGCGCTTTAATAATTAAGTTGGGGGGGGGTGTTTGGCTTTTTACACAAAGAAGGGGGGGCGGGGAGAAAAAAATCATTCAAAGTAAATATACTTGTGGTACAAATACCACAGAGTATTATTGCCAAATTATAAAGCCTATAGTAAATTGTATTGAGTTGCACTACAGTATTTCAAACTAACTTTTGGATTGTCTGGTGAGGTTTCCTGGCTGTGCTAAGGAATCTTAAAATAACATCACAGTATCAAGTCCCAGAACCTCACATTAATATGCCAGCTGGCTGAGCTGGAGTTATATGCAAGAAGAAAAGGAAACACTCTCAATGGATTTCATTTCCTATAGCTAAACTGTCCATTTCCTTTCATTCCTGTTGAACATAATCGTTGATAGTGACCTCTAACAGTTATAGATGTGCAGAATTTCAAGATTTTTTCCTGGAGAGTTGATCACTATATGGAGGCATAAGGCTTCAGTAATGCTTAATGGCAACGGGTGCCAAATGTTGCAAAGCTGGAATGGGAAAATTAAGGAAAGAAAGGGCATAATTATCTTTTTCCTAGCAAATTCAGCTTATACAGGCAGAAAAAGGGAAGTACTACTGGATATAATACCGTATTTCTTAGTATTGGAAGTAAGGCTTTATGCCTGCTCTATGCTGTGCAGTTTAGAGAAACAGCTCTAGAAGGGTCCTCAGCACCATTCAGGACCTATCTAGGATTAATCCTGGGATGCATTTATTTCACTGCCACTTGTGTTCCTCATCAATTTTTGTTACAGATAAAAGTATGTAACTATTTTCTTGTTAATAAAGTAGTACAGACCTAGAAGATCACTGATAATAAATTTCTCTGCGGAAGGCTTGCTCATTTAATATTTTTTTGATGGTATGAAGTGGAGAAACTCTGTGTTGAATAGATCTCTTTTCATGAGGAAAAGGCAAGGTTATACGAGTCATTGTTTCCCACAAGGGTAGTGTGTAACGAATGTAAGATTCCCTCATTTCACACGGGGAATTGCTTACTTTAAGCATGATCACATAAAAGTATGTACTTGATGCACAGTCTTGGGTATGAGGAATAATGATGCAATATTTGTTTTGTTGACAGTGATGGATTTAAAGAAATCATGCCCTATGATCACTTCCAGCCACTTCCTCGGTATGTATAATCAGGATAGCCTGTGTGTCAACATTAGCACAATTTTCACTGCAAATATACTATTTGAGTTCTAAGATCATGGAACATCTTCTGACTTTTTGCCATACAGGAGAGCAAGTTTATAACAATCCTGTACGCATTTTTGAAGCTTGTGATTTATTTCAGTGTGCTCTGGATGATTAGCTTAACAGTCAGAGGTTAATATGTTCTTGAAAAACTCTTCAGAATAAAGAGTTGTCCCCCTAAGCCACCTTCTGCTGTCATGCTGAGAAGAGCATGTCCTGTAAAATGCATGTATGAATTCCTGTCTTTTTATTTTGAAGATGTATGCAATGAATACATTCTTTTAAGAACAGGTCTCCCTACGTTACAGGAGTCTAGAAATTCTTTTTTCCTTGAGAGGTCTCATTCTTCTGCTCTTCTTAAGACATACACTCTATTTATTGACATCAAGGCTGACATGTCACTTTAAAGATACTGAGTTGTCTGAATATCTGTTGCCTAAAATTAAGTCATCAGAGCACAGTGTGTTGCCTTTTTTTTAATTTGTTTTTTAACCAAATCAGTCACAGGAATGTAAAACTTCTCTGGAAGGTTTAGATGTTTTGGAAAAAATGTTAAAACTAAAAAGCATTGAGCCAGATTTACTGTTAATGTAAAGAATTACAGTTGATGGAGTTAGATGCATATTTATCTGAGTTGAACTTCTGCTCTATTATGTCATGAAATGAATAATGTGTATTTTTCTAAAGAAGTAAAGATATGAAGTAATAAGAATGAAATCATAGACTTGCACGGCTCAGTGGAGCTACTGATTACAGCTGATATAAATGTCATAGTTTATTTCTGTAGCAATTTACGCTTGTTGTGGATCTGCTGTCCTGTGATGTACTTTGGCTTTCATACATAGATTGAGATTTTTTTCCTCTACAGCTTTATCCTGTAAAGTTCCATAATTATATTCTGTGTCTCTCTCCTTCCATTTCTTCTGCCAATTCCTTTGTACTTCAGATCTCCTCTGGAACTCAGCACAATTTATTTACATGAGTATTTCATCTTCAGAACTGTTCAGGACTTGGAGACCAGTTGGAAGAGAAATTTAATCTCCCTTTCTGTGCTTTACTGTGTTCAGCACGTTTGCGTGACACTGTGGCGAGATAGATTATGTCTGCGATAAAGCCGCAGGCAGGTTCTCTTATTTCAAACACTGAGAACTACAAAGGCCCACCTCATTTTGACACCTCAGTGTGTCCTGTCAGAAGGTATCATGGTCTTCCTGGGTGATGCTCAAGTAAGAACTGTTAAGATAGCAGATGGCCAAGAAGGGTTCAGAGTTGGTGTCAGCAGGAAGCAGGGAGAGGAAACAGGCTGTGTTCCACTGGGAGGGCACATAAACACAACAAAGCTATAAAAAGACCTTTTCTTGCTTTAATTTCTGAAAGAAAACAGCAACTGAAAGAGCCAGTTTGCACACCTGCATCACGAGGTGAATCTGGTCCAGCGTGGATGCAAGTCTTGCTTCAGTACAGGAGGATGTATTTTCTCTGTGCTGTGCCTGTCAAGTAACTCCAATGCATTAGTCTGTGCCAGTGCTTCTGGGGCTTCTTCTGCCTTTTCTTTTTGCTCTTTCTTTTCTTGCCTGTTATTTACATGCTAACCCGCGACGGTTCTTGCAAAGGAGGCAGAAGACCAAAGTATCGTAGATATGCTTGAGCGAAACTATACAGCCTCCTTCACCTTGACCAGCAGTCATCCATCACACCTCCTACATAACATGAGGGCCATGTGGAGGGCTGCTTTGCAGTCCTGTGGCATTTCCCACTACTTTCCCATTCACACAAGGAAGTTGTGGGAAAGTCATGGTGCGCACCGCAAGATCTTGAAAGAGTTCTCCTGTGGCTAGAGTTGTAAATGCCCCACTGAAATATTTTTACAGATGGAGAATTCTTTTGAAATAAATAGAAAAATTTCCCAGGATGAAAATTTTCTTTAAAAGCTTTTGGAATGCCTCCATTTATTTCAGACTTGTTGGACTGTTGAAGATCCCTTGACAGCTGTGGGTTCTGGAAAGTATCTCCTTGACTGCTTGCCCAAGACCCCCCTTTTCCCCAGTAGCCATGGACCTCACTCCATCTTGAAAATGCTTATGGGAGTATGGGATCTGGAGTGTGTTCGAAACTGATGAGATAAAGAAAAACAACTATAAAACTTTGTGCTATAAACACTTGCGAGGCTAGTATTACATATAGCACAGTGAGCCTTATATATATAAATCCACGAGCTGCTAATTCATTGAACGGTTAATTGCTCTTTAGTTCCTGACTTTTTTTAAAGAAAATGACTTAACACTGACTGTTCATTTAAGTCAAAGAAAAGTGTAACTGTTGCCCTTCAAATGTATTTTGTACTTGTGATATGATATCAGTATCTGGGCACACAGCTTTGTTCTGAATGCTTTTGAGTATATACTCTATGGTTAATGTTCCATGGCTTGCTGTATGTTTCATACTCATTCTTCAGTTGAGCTTAAGCATGATTAATATGTTTTTGCAGGCAGTTTAATGAATTACTTCAAGTAGGAAGTGTCCTTGATTTACCTGCTGTATCATAGAAAGCGGGTAGTAATTGCTTAAATTTACCTTTGATTTATAGGCCTTTGCTTCATCTACTCTGAGACTATGACTTCCTTTATGATAGCTAAGTTACTCTTGATGAATTGGTTTTCGTGGGATATTGTAGTATTTGCTGAGTCCATTGTTCATAATGGATATAATTTTTTTCTTGATCCTTTCTGAGCCCCTCAATTTCTAACAGGATTAAGTTTTAAACTAACAAGATATTGATGAACCGTAAGATATGCTGCAGGACAGTCATTTCCCAGGGTGTAGCTTTGATCTGGGTGGGTGGTGGAAAGAAAGTAAGAAATAGGAGGTGAAGGGTGAGGAAAAATTTCATGGGAGTGAGTGGAACCTATAGACAAATGCTGTGATAGAAGCTTGTTACCTCTAAACATGACAGGAGCAGGACATTACTGAAGTTAGTTTTTGTTCTTAAACGTACATTCATGCTAAGACCAGGAGATAAGCGAAACAGAGTTTGTAACCTAAAAGCCTCCATGTAATTCTCACTTCAGACGGTGCAGTAATTTCCATCTTCATTGCAGTTAGGTCTAGGATTGTGGATAGATGTCCATTTTGAAGACGTTCCCTCCCAGCAGGTTGTTTACCATCCCTCTATTGGAGGCTACTACCCCACAGCTCTGCTGGCTGGCAGGGCTGTGTGAGTTTTCCTTCATCTGTGCATCGCCCTGCTCCAGGAGAAATCTGCTAGGTTAGCCGAAGCAGCTGAAATGGATGAGCAGCTGCCTTCTGCTTGAAGCAAGTTGGAAAGTGTGAATACAAAGTCATTCAACAGCATTTTAATGAGGATGGAAAACTCTTGCAGAACTGCAGTGATGACCAGCCAAATGGTACCTGTCACAATTTAATTTCTTCACAGTTCTTATGGGTGAAGACAGTTTGAAATGAAATGGCTGGGTTTACCCAAAGCAAGTATTAGAGTTCCCATAAAAATTCTTTCATGAAGGGATTTTTTTTTAAGTGTAGTCTGCGTGATGTGGGCAGTGATGAGCAACCATGGGTAATAACACCCTCAGTCAGCACAGCCAGATCTGTCTTCATCTTCGGACTTCATATAATCTCAAGTACATATGCTTCTTGGTCTCTGACAATGGGAATAAGAGTATATGTGACAATGTAAATTAACTGTGAAAAATATTCTATTTAAATGATCTAATCTATTTGCAAGTAAAATCATTCCAGTAATCTACCTCAGTATGTTTAGGCTCTTTAACTCGTGTATGAGAATAAGATTTGCAGTTATTTTGGAAAATGTACTTAAATTTATAGTTCTATTTTTGTTCTCATTTTGCACATGAATTTAAGCCTGGAATAATGTAAGGTAGCTCTGTAATTCAATGTATTTATATTCAGTGTGTGGTAAGGATCCAACAACCAAACTATCAGAAGGTTTTAATGACACTGAAGTTGGAGTCAGCATTTTGCACTTTTAATAGAGGTTAGTGGAATTAAAATTAGCCTTATTTTTAATATATGTGAGTTCTTTTTCCAGTTGGGAACATAACCCTTGGACTGCATGTTCGGTTTCCTGTGGAGGTGGTATTCAGAGGAGAAGTTTTGTGTGTGTAGAGGAGACCATTCATGGAGAGATACTGCAAGTGGAAGAATGGAAATGCATGTATGCCCCTAAGCCCAAAGTCATTCAAACCTGCAATCTGTTTGATTGTCCTAAATGGGTGGCAATGGAATGGTCTCAAGTAAGTTGAAAAGTAAATTTGGACCTTTATTCTTGTTTTCTAGAGAAAGTCTCTAGCTTTGCGTTACCATGCATTCGTGAGCACAAGGCTATCAGAAAAATAGCTCTGCAAGCATAATTCATAGTACTTACTAGGAGAAGTTTGTACTAAGTCATTTGGGCTGATAATCAAAATGTTAATGTGTCTGTCTGGAGAAAAATGCATATAGAATTATTTATGCCTATTGAATTGAATTGTTGAATTCCTGTTTTACACAGAGGAGAAATTAGAGACAGCAGTCAGGCCCCTTTGCAATCAGGTCGTTTGTGTCTCAGTTCTTGATAAATTTAATATTTCACTGCATATAATAGCTAAAGGCATGTCTGTGTAGGGGCTGACGTGTCTGCAAGGGTGATTTTCCAGCATTCTTACCTTTCATTACAGTAACAAGAACATAAAGCCAACTTATCTTGGCTGTAGTTATCTGATACAGTCAGATAGTTCAACACTTCTATAATTCCTTAGTTCATCCAAATGACGTCACTGCCACATAGTGAAGAAACCGTTCTTGCAGCACGTCTGACCCAGCTTTAACTGAAAATGACCACTGAGAGAGAATGGTCCCAGTACATAGCCACCTCCGTTTCAGACTGTTGCCAATCAGA